CCTCAGAGCACACTACGGATACTGTAGGTGTCTAGTATTTATTGCTCCTGGGCGGGAAACAGAAGAGTGAATTATTCTTTCACTAGGACCCATAATAGTTTCCTGGATTGCCTTGAGATTTCCTCGAGGTCAGATGATTTATTCAATTTGGCCCACAGTTACAGGCGATTAATAAATCTGGGTACCAAGGTGACAATATGGGAGGGATTCTGGAGAGAGAGATGGCTTCCTCAGTCATGTTAAATAGCAGTAGTATTATTACCTAAGGCAGGGATTCTCAGTCCACAGCAAAAGTAAATTCACCACCCAAAATATATGCAGAATGAGTTTAGAAAGCAACACTATTAATATGTGCCTTAACCTTACCCTGTTTTGTTATTTTATCCTATTTGTTTCATTTTTAAAAATTTCTGGTCACAGGATCAGCGGATGGCATAACGGTTATGTCACTAGACTCCAATGTAGTTGACTGTGCGTGATTCAAGCTCAGACCTGGCGGCTTAAAACTCATGCTGGGTGTGTGCGCATACATGCCCAAGATCCCGAGGGGAGAATGGAGGAGAAGGGATTGCTGTGTAGCCATCTACCCTTGGGGATGATTTCTCACTTGCTGTTTGTCTCTCCAGTGAGTGCACGTGCCCTACAGCAAAAATCTCTCTTTAAAAAATAAATAAATAAGTAAGTTCTGGTCACAGACCACTTAATTTTTTTTTATAACCCACTAAAGCATAGTAGCCTGTGGTTTAAAAAAAAAAAAAGCAAAAACTGGTGAGTTGGAGGTTAAGGTGGCTGAATCCCACGTGAGTAACTTTGCGGTTTAAGTCCCGGACCTGGCAGCTTGAAAATTGCCCTGGGCACATGTGTGTGCATGCCCAAAACCCCAAAGGGAGAAGGGATTGTGGTATGCCCATCCCCCCCGAAGTTGATTTCTCATTCTTCCCCACTTTGTCTATGTCTGTCTGTCTGTCTCTTTCTCTCGCTCTCCGGTGAGTACACGTGTCCTATAGCAAAAACCTAAAAAAAAAAAAGTCAAGTCAAGCAAAGAAACAGGAAAAAAAACAAAAACAAAACTCACCTAAGGATCATGTTTGCCACTTGAAGATCAGCCAAATTTGATTCAGATCAGGATTCAGGCCCACCTTTAGCTCAGGGGTGTGTTCTCTTAGGGTCATTCAAGTCCAGTCACTTAGAAGTGGGGAGGGAGGTTGCTCTTGGGTTGTCACCATTTATAGCTTCAGTGCGACAGAAGACATCGTCAGTCTCTGTATCCCTTTCTAGACTTCCTTCTCCACCTCAGAGGGTACTGGGAGGCCATTATAGCCTGGCCTGGCCGGCGGGGTAGGTAGGTGAAAAAGGAACGTGGTAGGCAGAACGTGACTTCTTAATGTTCCTTTAACTCTATGCGGTTACATTTTCTGATAATGATATTTCTGGGGAAAAAAGTATTTATGGGAAAGATGAGTAAACTCAATCCAAGAGTATTTTTTTCCCTAAAAAAAATTAAAAAAAGTGAAGCTAGCTAGGCATAGGTTCTCAGAGTGCATATAGCTACATTCGCTATAGCGTGTTTTTGTTTCAGTGCTGTTTTTTATTTCTGAGCATTCTCCCTCGTATTTTCCAGATTCCTGTCATCTAAGTGGATGGCATAGCATAGCATGGAGGTCACTTGACTTTTTTAAAAGATTTTATTACCTCTCACCTTTGTCTCATAATTACAGATTTGGTGACAGCTTTTTAAACACTAGCCTTATAACCACCACTTAATGAAGGGTTGGATGATATTATTATATGATATAAAAATGCTTTAATTTATAAGTCACCACGAGCACATCAGATAACAGCACAGTGTACAACAAAATCACTTGCCAAAATCCAGGGCTCATAAACGCTAGGGAAATTTACAGGATCCTGAAAAGAGATGTCTACCATTTTTGTTTACCAACTCATGTGGTCACAGAGTAAAACAGTTTTACAAATTAGGGTTTTTTTTGAGAGTTTTTTTTGCCATAGGGCATGTGCGCTCGCCAGACAGACAGAGAGAGACATAGAGACAGGAAGCGAGAAATTACCCCCCAGGGGGGATGGCCATGCTGCAGTCCCATCTCCTCCATTCTCCTCTCGGGATCTTGGGCATGCACACACACACTCCTGGGGTGAAGATTAAGCCACCGGGTCCGGGACGCAAACCGCGGTCGACTACATGGGAGTCCAGCGACATAGCATTACGCTAACTGCTAGTCCCCAAATTAGGTTTTTTGATGAATTTTTACACTTTGAACAACCTACATTATTTCAGATTTTACACCAAATGGTTTGATCTGGAACTATCTCAAATTTGCAGGTTCAAAATGAACACAACAGAACTCCACTGTAGTTCGAAAACCTTAATTACAGAAGTTAATATTACATTGAGTTCAATTAGGAACTGCTCAATATTTGTCAAGATGCTCTTACATCAGAAGACTGGATTTTGATAGCTAGACAAAACCAGAAGACAATGAAATGTATAAAATGGACTATTTCACTCATTTGTCTAGCAGAAAGCCCTGTGATCTAAGCACCCACGTGAACCTGCTGCTGTGAGGGCCTGTCAAGTGAGTAGGTGGCGTACTTTACCATAGGATCACAGCTCTCAGGCTGAACGTTAAATGCTGTTGGAATTGCCCTGCAGATGAACTGAGGTGCTGCTTTCTAAAGACCCACTCTAAGTATTCTGACTTATCTCCCAGGTGGCCATGTCTGGACTGAGTGGGACTTTTGCTCTCATAGCTGCCAGTCTTTTATGGAAGAGAGTCTAGGTCACTGTGGAAAGAGTATGGTCAAACAGAATGACTGTGAGTTTCAGCTTTGTCTTACTTGTTACATACCATTGGGCAAAATCTTTCAACTCATTAGGTCTCAGTTTTTCTTTCAACTGGGGATAACAGGTCTTGGGGTGGCTGCCAAAATCCCTATGGTACAATGTCTGTGAAGCACCGACCACAGTTCCCCATTACATAACTGGCATTTTGCAATCAACCCCTGTTATAGCCTTATCAGTTACTTTCATGAATAGTATCTGTACGGGAAGCTGCATATTAAACTACTTTTAAGGGCAATTCTAGGTAGGCTTCTCATATGATCAGTTTCTTTTCATTCCTTTTATGTGTTCAGCAAGTAATATGTTTGGCTTTTTTGAGTGGGTTGTGTGAAAGAGAACAGGACCTTCCTGAGGAGTTTGGAGGTAAGATTATGACTCAGGAAACAAGTGGAGGACCACTGAACACAGCACTTGTGGTATCGGCTATAACTGCGTGAAATTGAAAAGGGATACACACATGTAAAGGCCTATGTGTGGACTCAACTGTGAAAATGCATATTACGGTGACTAGCTTCAGGTCAAATAAAGGAGAACCAGGAGCTTTAGCTGTGTACCCCGTGTGACTAGTGACACAGCTGTCAAGGAAGCCAGTGTATTCTCAGGTACTGAGAGGATCTGAGTGTCCAGACAAGGCCAACAGCAATCTCACTGTCCTGTGCACTGGGCAGTACACACCTGAAGTGGACGTGCTCTGTTGAATTCTCTTCTCTTAGAAGAGATAATGATGAATGTGAGCCCGAACAGAAAAGTATGACCAGGAAGCTAGTGTAAAGAACCATGTTGCCGTTTTTCTTGGAGGTATGATCAATGCCTTCCGCTTTCCAGTGTTTGGAAGTCCATAATTTGGAAACCAATGCACTGTATAGAATAGGCATGCAATAAAAATGTTTCGAACACATGGAAGTGTGCTCCTGTCGGATAACTCCGCAGGGCAGCTATAGTGTAGATCTAAAGGATCTAACAGATGAAAATTAATCAGTTGAGATTATAGAAGAACAAATTTTAGCTCCATAATGAGAGATGTTAACTGCCAAGGGGCTCCTAGAAAGGCTGGTGTCTGTAAGTAACTGGAGTTGAAGGTCTAAATGCCATAGAAAAAGTATTCATAGGTTTAGGAGAGGGAGAAAAATCCCCCTCCCTGGGGAATCAGGAAAGACTTACAAGGGAGCAGAGAATATGTTAGGTCTTAAAGGCAGTGAGGACTTAGACATGAGTGTGCTTTTAGAAGTAAGTGAAAGGAGTAGAGAGCGGTTGAAATCAGTGAACCACGTGAGTAAAGGCACAGATGCAAGGAAGGTGTTCGGCTTTTATGAGAGGATAGAGTACAGTCCACTTTACTTGGAGAGAGGTAGTTCTGGGATTTGTTTTATTACGTTACTCAGAACAGAAGCCCAAAATGTAGTCAGCTTAATCTGCAGGGTCATTGTATGATCCCACCGAATGTCTCGTTGAGTATGTTGTGTGTCGATCAGGATTTTATAGAAAAAAAAAAAAATAGGATCTGGTTCTTTAACAAAAGGTCTTGCCCCATGTACTACCCTTTAATAATGTTCTTAACTTGTTCAGCATATACTACTTAGTAAAATTCAGTCTCACAACTTTTCTGGCCGCTGTTTCTTAATGCTGCCTAGAGCCAGTAGGTAGCATGGAGGTTTAATGCACTGGATCCCACATGGCTGGCTGTGCACTTTGAGTCCCAGACCCCATAGCTTGAAAAACATGCCAGGCATGTGCGTGTGTGTGTCCAGAATCCCCAGAGGACAAGGCATTGTGCTGTGATGGTCCCCCTGGGGGAGATTTCGCACTTTTGCACTTTGTTGGTGGTGAGCATATGCGCCCTATAGTATTAAAACAAACAAACAAACAAACAAACAAAAACGGTCTAGGCCCACCTACAGGTAAACTGATGATCTAAGTTGACAAGGTTCGTTTTTGCCTGTCTGAACCAGATGTGATTGTGCTGGTCTTCATGGGTTATAGCTGTGCTTTTCAAACTTCAATGTGTATATGAAGCCCCTGGATTCTGGATCTTATTAAAATCCAGAATCTAATTCTGTAGATCTGAGATGGGGCCTTGAAGTTCTACTTTTCTCCCAGGCCCAGAGCTGAAGCTGTTGCTGCAGAGACCACATTGGACTGAGTCTTTGTGGCTACCTTCCTCACTCTGAGTTTGGCATAAGACAGCTTAGCCACACCTTGGAAAATAGATACATTTACTGTGTCAATGATTTAAGTTGATCAAGGACGATTGGGTTTTTACTGGTTTAGTGATTTATTACTGCACATTTGTTTTTCTTTCTCTGATGCAAAATTTTACTTTTTATACAAAGAATCTGAACCACTTCAAAAAACACTTCAAAGTGAGTAATATTTATCTTTGAAACACTTTAACTTATCCATAATATCTGTTTCCAAGTAGTATATAATTTGTAATCATTTTGCAAGGAGAGCAGTTTCTTTTGTTCATTTCTAAATTAATTCAGCCTAATGCAGCAGTTATAAGGATTAGTAACTAAACTTTGCAGTACAAAATTTTTGCATTCATCTAATATATAGGGAAATACGAGGGGGTCTTCTCAGAAGTTCATGAAAAATGATTATCATGAAAAAAATATACAAAACTATACATGAATTTCAAAACCTTTTTACACCAAAATAAACTCATACTTCAGTTTTTCCACAAACCGTTAGAAGTATCCTTGTAATTTTAGTTGAAATTGTGGAACTGAGTGATTTGTTTCTTCAGATTTTTTTTTTGTTAAGATGTTCACATAATATTTTTCTAGATGCTTCCAGGAGAGCTACAATTACATCAGTAGAGATTAATTTATTTGGATCTTGAATGTCTTTCAGTCTTTAAGATGTTCCTCACAAATGACGTGATTATTAGTATATTTAATAATGGGTTTCATCTAAGAAGGAAGTATTAATTATTATCCACCTAGGAGCAAATTCCCATAGGGTTAGACATAGGATGGAGTGGGGATGTGCATACATGAGGGGAGATGAAATTTTTCTACATCGCAGTTGTGTTCTCCTTGCTGGAAGTTTGGCATATTCCTTAACTTGGCGTTAACATAGAACAGGAAGCCCTTTCTATTTTGCCTTCGTCCTGAGTGTTATAGCCTTTCTCTACTTTTTCTACAAGACTTGGGCAACTGATCCTGGCTTCACTAAGGCTTCCGAAGAAGAAAGAAAAGTGGTGAGCTCTATTAGTTACTGATTTCTTTTTAAAAATAGATTATGTAAACTTGAGAAAGTCACAATCACGTTGGCTTTGCTCATGACTGCGTCTCAATTGCCCCGCATCTAATAAATACAACGTACATGGGGGGTGATTAAGTCAGTGAAGGTGCCATTTTTCCATCCTGACATGCTTTTTTTTTCATTTACGTGTATGAACATTTTTAAAAACATTGTTTGTTAAAAGAATATCCCACCAAGACCTTTCAGGCGTAATTTCTGTTAGCAGATAAGCTCTCCTGCTACTTTGTAGTAACATTTAGATAATGGCCATTGCTCAAATCCCCCCACTTCATATGTGGAGAGTTCCTAGACAGGAGTGGGAAAGTCCTTCTCATTGACCGGAGAGATGCTCCTTTTCTTCCTCAAATGTGAAGTTGTCAGGTGACATAGCACATTTTTCACTGCTAGTAAATGTTTAGAAATGTGGAAGTTGGGAGTGAGCAGGTGGTATGGTAGTGAAAGCGCTGGACTCCAACATGGCATACCACGGTTCAAGTCCTGGATCTGGAGGCTTGAAATAAATCACACCGTGTATGTGCATGGCCAAAATCCTGAGAAGAGAATGGAGGAGGAGGGATTGTGGCATGGCCATTCTCCCTGGGGAGTGAGTTTTCCCCTCTCTCTGTGTCTCTCCAGTGAATGCATGTGCTTTCTGGCAAACACCTGAACAAAAGAAATGTAGAAGTTGGGGCAAGTATTGTCTTCTTTAGTTCCTAGAGCCAGTGTTGCTAAAAGACTCACCCCTTGTTCTTATAGCCACCAGCTTTCTATTTGTTTAAGAGGAGATTTTGCTATAGTGGCTCACCAGAGAGAAAGAGACACAGTAAGTGAGAAAGCATTCCATAGAGGGTATGGCCACACTACAGTCCCTTTTCCTCTACTCACCTCTCAGGATTTTGGGCACACACACACACGTGCCCAGCATGAATTTTAAGCCGTCAGGTCTGGGACTCAAACTATTGTCGACTATGTGGGAGTCCAGTCACATAACCATTATGCCATCTGGCAGTCCGATAGCCACCAGTTTTGATGTATACTTTTATTTCTTTATAATGGATGTATATGTGCATGTTGAATTTCCTTTAGCAGATTTTAACTGGGAGATCATTGCCATTCCCAGAGAAAACCTGGTAGATGGGAGTAGCAGGTGTAATTTTTTTTTTTTGTATTCTAACTTACTGGCTTTTGGTTGAAAATGCAGCCTTGAAAAATCACATTATTTCAAGCACAGAACGATTCTGTGGCAGGTATTCCAAATTGCTTTGCTAGCTACTTCAGTTTGAAGCAAGAGCTGTGAGAGTGATACTAAACCATGCATAATACATTCTCCAATAAAACGCAGTCGTAAGGTCAAACTTCATGTCTTTCAGAATATCATCACCCTTGCAGAAACCGGCTGCCTGGACTTCAGAACATTTTGCACATCATGCCTCGTGAGTCTTTTCTGTATAATTTTTTCCATCATAAAAGCTAATTCTTGGTAACATTGCTCATGTAAGCATTTGTCAAGTCTTCGTGGTATATTTATACACCTTTGTTTTTACCCAGTTCTAATTTTGCATTGCTGTCAGAACAATTTTCTGCCTTAACATACGGAAGAACGGTGTTTATAATCCCTTGAAGTTGCCTATGGTTAAATCTCTTTGTGAATTATCCATGGTGTGTTTTGTTTGCTTTCCCCTGTCATGAAGCATACATTAGAACCAACTTCGAGTCAGAGGCTCATAATCCCTCTTGAAAGCTCAGTGATGGAGGTACAAAACCTCAGGTTTTGCAGTTGAGGAATCAAGACCTAGAGGAAGTAACCTCCCCCCAAATTACTGGCAGAGTCATAGGGGAACTCAGATTTCGTTTTTCTTAGTTCAGCGCTCCTTCTGTTTGTCACTGCCTCATTTTTCCTTAGCCAGTGTAGACAGGCGCTGGAATTGACCCCTTAGTGACAGCCTAATGAAAACAGACACGTGGAAGTAAATATTAATAAGCACTCCAGAGCCTCTATGTGATTCGATGGCCTATTTGGGATTATTTATGCCAGTAGTTTTATGACCTAGGGTTAATATTTTCCATGTGATTTGTCGCCGCTTTGAGACACCGGCTTGTGCTTAGGCCTCTCTCTCATTGTCCACTTAGATAAGGAAGCCGTTAAGGTCGCTGCATTGCCATGTGTGCAACTCCTGTGTGGCTCGGTATGATCAGCACTGCCTGTGGACTGGACGGTGCATAGGTGAGAGCTTTCTTTTTTCAACCACCGCTGCAAATGAAGCATTGGCTTATTCATGTGTGTGACTTGGAAAAAGTGGAAAGGCGCCCAAGGGCTCTGGTTTGTAGCTCTTCCTTATCTGAGAATCAGCTCTGTTGGACACTTTTGGAAAACCGGTCATTGAGACTGATAATGACAGTTACCATTTGTATAGTATTTTGGAATTTGTAACACATCTTCACATATGGTATCCAATTTAATCATCAGCACACCTGTGAGGTTGGTATTGTTGTCTCCATTTTAGAGCCGAAAAGTTGTCCACAGTGACGTTACTTGCATGCGGTCACTTCATTCAATTTTATTTATTCATTCATTTGCTTTTAATTTGACTGGAGAGAGACACAGAGAGAGCGAAAGTGAAAAAGGAAGCCACCAGCTCTGGGACTCAAACCATGGTCGGCCATGTGGGAGTGTCCAGAGCCTTAACCACCATGCCACCTACTGACCCCTCACTTCATAATAAATGCCAGTCTTCTACTCCACATGCGATGTTCTCTCCGTATTTTATGACTCGTTTGTCCTAGTCACCTTCATTTGCCTCTAAGGCTCAGGGAGGTGCTAGAACCAGTGACAGCAGAGCTCTGGGATTGCCTTCTACCCAGGGAATGTTCCTTTTCCTGATCTGCAGCCCTAGGTTCCTCCGAACCATGACAGGAAAAGCCAGTCTTTATTATGGAGAATGTCAGAAAAACAATGATTGCGGGTTTTCAGGACAGGATATGCTTTTATGATCTGGGTGAACAGGAGGTTGCCTCAGCTCAGTCAGGCTTCTTTGGTACATTTCAGTGTTCGCTCTTATTTTTAGAGATCACGTGACTTGATTCCTGGGGTCTTAAGCTATATGCATCCCATCTCACCATGAAGATTGGGTGACCGGCATTATGGCAGGCAGCATTGAATGGCAGTAGGAAAACAGTACCAATAAGCCCATACTTTTTTTTTTTAAGAACTTTTGCTATAGAGCGTGTGTGCTTGCTGGAGCAACAGAGAGGCAGAAAGTGAGAAATCAACCCCCCAGCAGGCTTGGCCATGCCACAATCCCTTCTCCTCTTGGGATTTTGGGCATGTGCTCAGTATGAGTTTGAAGCTGCTGGGTCTGGAACTCAGACTGTGGTTGACCATGTGGAAGTCCAGGACTCAATCACTATGCCACCTTCTGGCCCCACTTTTTTTTTTTTTTTAAAGTTTTCTATAAAGGCTATAGGGCACATGTGCTTGCCAGAGAGGGATCAGGGATTGAGAAATAAGCCCCCAGGGGCATGGCCACACTACTGTTTCTACTCCGTTCTCTTGTTGGGATTTTGGGCACACATGCACACACACCTGGCAAGTTTCTCAAGCCACGGGTCTGGGACTGGAACTGGAACTCTGTGCAGTTGGCCATGTGGGACCCAGCTGCCTTAACTTCGTGCCACCTTGCTGGCCCGAGTCCATACATTTTGATCATATTGCTGGGTTTTCATATGCCTCTTGTTGTTTAATTGCCACAGGCGTGTGAAATAGATAGAACAGGTATTGGTACAAGGAAAACACAGGGTCAGAGAGGTTAAACAACTTAGCCTATGGTAACACAACTAGTAATCCACAGGCCTAGCTCTCCTGATTCCAATGGGTATTACTCCTTCACTGTCTTTGCTGTCCAGGAAAGGATGGGACCATGATACGGTACCTGAGGAGCTTTCGTATCATTAGCACTGAAAAAACGCCCCCAACCAGCATCAAGAAGAAGGCACATATGTGGCAGGGGCATCGTGGCTAGGTGTCCTCTTCCTCTCTTCCTTTCTGTAGACCGTGGCAGGGGCTTGGTGGCTGGGTGTCCTCTTCCTCTCTTCCTTTCTGTAGACCTCTCAGAGGCTGCACGTTGTCTCTCTTCGCTGTTTCTAGTCTCGTGCAGCAAGTACATTTATTGTTACTCCTCATTTTCTCTATGACCCTGATGAGGTCAGCACTTGACCCTCGGAAATTGTGCTCCGTAGGCATGTTGCCTGTTGAGGGAGGAAGAAAGAGACAAGGTAGGATTTGCCCCAAATCCCGCCCACTTGCCCTTGTCCAGCAGTTTAGGCTCGCCTGGAGCTGTTTGCTTTGTTCTGTTGGAGAGAAGTATCAGGTAAGTAATGAGTAAATACTAGTTTAGTTAACGCTGTCAGTCCACCGTGGTTTACCACCGCTGTTTAGTTTTGGTTTAATGGCACCTAAAAGACAAAGCAGCAGCCTTATATCTGTTTTATTTTGGTAAAGATTTTTGACCAGAACCTATTTAAAAAGTCTTAACTGAAAAATCATTATAAGAAAAATATTTCTAGTATTTTTTTTTTTTCTTGTTTCAGGTTTTGGCAACCATCACTATTATATTTTCTTCTTGTTTTTCCTCTCCATGGTGTGCGACTGGATTATATATGGATCTTTTGTCTGTAAGTGTGTATCTTTCTTAGAATGAGCTCACGGATCCACACCCACTTCTACTTTTTCTTGTAAACTCTTACATATCACATTCCGAGTGGGTGACTAAACTGTACCCCTAATAAAAACGAAGCAGATGCCTCTAAGACTCTCAGCATTGAGGAGCTGCAAGAACTGTGGAAAGATGACTGCTTTCAGTATTTTGGAAGAGAACTTTGACATATTCAAGAAGTGGTCAAAAATAGAAATTCATTTAAAATAAGTGCAGCTTTGTCCCTCAGAAGAAAAAAGAATCACCTTTTCAAGTACAAGCAGGAGGTGATAAGTAGATAAACAGGGCGGGAGGAAGGTTGATGGTGGCAAGGTTAGGGTATGGTGGTCCCAGTAATTAAGGATTAACTCCGTACTTAGCATGTAAACCTGAAACTGAGAACGGATGGAAAACCTGTAATAATCAAAGGTTACAAATAATAACTTGGAAGAAGACATTAGATCCTTCTTGGCCCTGAGAAGGGAAAATAATTTTGAATAGCAGTTTCAAAAGGTCTCAGGTAGGGAATGACAGCCAGCTCAGTCTAAGATGATCAGCTGAGGATAGAGTTTAAAGTAAACAATTATTTTTAAAACATTTATTTATTTATCTTTTTTTAATCGTTGTGATTTTTAACCACTGGTAGTTGAACCGTGGTTGGCCATGTGGGAATCCTGCACCTTAACCGCCAGACCACCTGTTACTCCAAAGTGAACAGAATTTTGATCAACTCCTAAGAATTGTGTGACTACAATTTCAGGATTTGGAATAGGTTGCCTCACTGGAAAAACCTAGGGTGATAATCGTTTATTTATTTGGACTCTGTTTACTTGTATATTATTTATTTAGTTTGAAGATTTGGGGAATATTTGGCTCTAGATGGCAGCAGCTTTACTTCCAGCCTGTTTCCGTCCGCCCTCCTGTTATACTCGTGGTCAAGTCTTAGATTTTACCAGTTGGGTCTTAGTTTGGCTTCTTGAGCTGAAATCTCTGAAGTGTTTCAGGAAGACATCAGGAAAGCTTTTTTTTTCCTACTTCAAAAAAAAAAAGTTTATTTCATTTGTGAAAGAGAGAGAGAGACAGACAGAGACCCTCAGCAGAGTCTGATGCTGTGATTCTCCCTGTTAGCCTGACTAGCCAGTCAGGATCACGAGCCAGCACGTACACAACTACCTGGGAACTGAACCCTTACCTTCCACGTGTCTCCCAGCATTCAGCGCATTGTGTTACCTCTGTACCACCACACCTAGACTGCACTTATTTTTTCCTACATTATTTTTTCCTTTTTCCTTAGCATTCCAAGCCCCAGCATACACACTCTCTCTTTGGCTTCGTTAGTTTAAATCTTATTGAGTTTTTGAAAATAATTCTTTCTACCCTTGTGCCCCAGCCTTCCGATTCCCCTTCCTAGAAACATCCAGGATGTTACAAATTTTATTTTGTTTGGGGTTCCATTTTTAGAAAATGTTCATTAGTATCTATGTGAAATAGGTTATTGTTTGCCCTGGCTAGGCATGCCTGGGTTTCAGTAACTTTGTTAGACTCTGTCACCTGATTCCTTGCATGTCTCTGATCACTAGAGCATGCCTTTGTGGCTAAATGTAACCATCACCATCTCAGCTAGCTTTGATGGGGGGTGGTGGGGTGGGGGGGAGTGCTGTGGTCCCTGAGCTCACACAGTTCTCAAGGAGCACCAATACCCCTGAGCATTGGATTGTCTTGTGTAAGAAATGGGGAAAAAAATTTTTTTTGACATTGTCTCTTTCTGTTGAAAGAAGCATCCTTTTAAGGTCTGACAATAAAGTATATTCCTGGAAAACTTTCCTACGTTGGCCCACAGATGAGCTTTTCTCTTGGACCTGATTCTAGGGGAGAGGAGCCAGGGTTTACACCACTCATGTCTCTCCTCACTAAAAATAGTCACCTTTGTTTGGTGTCTGTCCAGCATAAGGCTGTATTGATAAGGACAGAAGCGATTTTCCATCACGTCCGGTCTTCCCACGTTAGCTTTTTATTGCACACACTGATTCTCCCCTTCTCTTTGACTTTTGTCCTCTGGCTCTTACCAGCCTTTTTCTTACGTTTTTTTCCTTAGGAACAGTCAGCCTCATGTGATGTTTGCTTACAACTGTGCAGGCTGGCTGAGCATATTTGGTTCCTTTTATTCCACTTATACCTACTTCTTTACACTGCAGGAAAGCACCTTGTCATTTATTATTATTTCAGAGACAGGAAACGTGAACTCGTGCTCCGGTTTCTCTGTCATCTGCCTCCTTAGTTTACCGTAACACTCCTGCTGGAGCCCTGCTGTCCCTCTCCTCCTCGTGACCCAGCAGCAACGTCTTCTGCCTCTGTGCAGCTTCCATGATTTCATCCTCCATGAGGTCTGTTTTCAGTGACTCAGGAGGTGTCAGCATTCTATACGTTCTATAGAGAAAGATTATAAACGAATGTCAGGGAGCATTCCGTAACTGTCCTTGCTATCGAAGCATGGAAACGATTGACTTGGAACGATTCGAGTTCCATGTCATTTACTGTTGACCTGATCAGACTGTATTAGCACAGAGCGAAGTACTCTGTTACATAAGATGATGGACATGGCCACTCTCAGCCATATCTTTGATATTAAGTCTGAAATCGGGACTCTGAAAGTTTCGATGCGAGGTCACGCTGTGTCACTAAGAAGATTCCCAGGAAGGCACAGTAGGAATCTATAAGCTGAAAGAAAGTAGACAGATTTCCCACTCAACAGCTGTTTTCTTCACCTGCTGTTGGAAATTGCATTCTTCGTTGTGATATCAGGTGCATGGCATGCATCTTTGCTGTCCTAATGAGAAGCTCTAAAGAGAGTGTAATTTGCCTTAACTTGTTAACCTGATTCTTACTCTGTGATGATTGCTTCTGGCATATAATCATGAATGATAGTTGAGAAGCAAAGAGTCTCAGGAAAAAAATAGATTTTTAGGCATGAAATGGACAGACAGTTAGTAGTAAAGTCACGTATTCAATTTCTTCCTGTCCTGGCAGCTATTCATTGCTGCTTTGGGAAAATGTCTAAAACTACTTATCAAATTGTCAGAGGCATTTATGAAACCTCAAGGTGCAAATCTACAGAATCCTCATTTCAAAAATAATTCACCTTTTATGAATGGTCATGGAGCCAGTAGAAGTCATTGGATTTGCATAACCTTGAAGATGTGTTCTCCTGTTCCTGCTGCTTCCTGCCTGAATTTCTCCTCACTACTCCCCTTCGCTACGTGGATTAAAGGGTCAGGATCTTGAAGGTCATAGTGAGGGCCTCTCTCTCTCTCTCTCTTTTAACTCTATCAAAGGGCTTTTTAATTTTTTTAAAGATGATTTTATTTATTATTTTTTAACTTGTTATAGGGCATGTGAGCTCACCAGAGAGAGGGATAGTGAGAAAACAAACCCCCAGGTTGAGGACTCAAACTGCAGATAGGGTGAGAGTTCAGTACGCTAGTCACTGTTCCATCTGCTGGCCCCTGTTTTTAAAATTTATAAATTAAATTTAGCCTTTTAGATTTTGGCCGTAGGATGAGTCCACTCACCCGAGGGAGACAGGGAGAAAGTGAGAAATCACCCCCCTGGGGGGGATGGCCATGCCACAGTCCCTTCTCTTCCATTTTCCTCCTTGGGTTTTGGCCATGCATGCACATGTGCCCAGCATGGTTTTCAAGCCTCTGGGTCTGAGACTTGAATGATGGTCAGTTTTGTGGTAATCCAGTGCCTTAACCACTATGTTGCATGCTGGCCCCAAGGCCTCTATTTTAATTGGCATGTAGATGTGTCTGGAGGAGAAACTGAGCTGTGGCTGTCTGAATTTTGCTCTGTCTTCTTTGCTCAGGCGTGTCTCTGTCAAATGAAGTCTGTTCACCTGGCCTTACTTCTTCTGTAGGCTTAGTTATGGTGCCAAGGCAAAAGTACACCCATACCAGGCTCTCTGCATGCTGTCAGATTGTGTTCCGGTGGTATTCGGGTGCTTGTAGGACATCTACCCACAGCAATAGCCTAGTTATGTGAACTTTTTTTTTTTTTTTAAGGTTTTTTTTTGCCTTAGAGTGAGTTCATTCACCGGAGAGACAGATATACAGTGAGAGGAAAAGTGAGAAATCACCTGGCAGGGGGATGGCCAAACCACAGTCCCTTCCCCATTCTCCTCCCAAGATCTTGGGCATGCACGCACACACACACCCAGTGTGATTTTTAAGCTACCAAGTCCCAGATTCGAACTGTGGTTGCCATGTGGGAGTCTGGCTACATAATCACTGCACCATCTGCCAACCCCTACCTGAACCTTTAATAAGTTTATAATCAGTCCTATAATGGACCTATAACTTGTAACTTGGATAAGATAGAGAGTTTTCTAGGACAGCATTTTATTAAACATTTGTTCTCAGTTGTAAGTCCTTGGACAGTTAACTTCTGTCCAGTGCATTTTATGCTGAATATGAGAATTTTGGTGAAGATAAGTTTTTTTTGTTTTGTTTTGGTTTTTTTTTTTTTTTTTTTTTGCTTTTGTCATTCATGGTCAGCTGCTGATGTAGTGTTTCTATAGTGTTAATTAACATGGAGGCATCCTTTTCTTGTCTTTGGTAGGCATTTGGAAAATAAATTCCTACAGTGAATTCTGCTCTGTGCTGTTCCATCTTACTTTCTGTTCTCCCTGTGTAGAATTGCAGTGATTTTATTTTGTTGGAGAATGATCACCAGTTGCTGTGTTTAATAATCAGTCCATGTTTCCACAGATTGGTCAAACCATTGTGCTACAACATTCAGAGAAGATGGACTGTGGGCCTACCTCAATCAGATCGTGTCCTGTTCTCCTTGGGTTTTATATATCTTCGTGCTAGCAGCTTTCCATTTTTCATGGTCAACATTTTTATTATTAAACCAACTCTTTCAGGTATTTATTTCTCTTCTTATATTGCCGTTGAGTGAAATTTCTGGTAATCTGTACTGAGGTAGAAAGACTCAAATTCGAAATCAGAGGCTTAAATTCTAAGTTCCATGAATTTGTTAGGATTCTGATTCCACTTGTCGTTTTCGACTCTGTGGGTCTAGGCATATCATTTGGCCGGTCTTGAATTTCAGTGTCCTTGTCTATAAAATGTAAATAATGCCAGCCTGCTCTCACAGGATGGTTTGAAGGTTTGAGTAATAAAATGTGACCTCTGAGTTAGCATATCTGACCTCTTTATTTTTAGATAGAGGTACAGGTAGGTGAGTTGAATTGCTCAAAGTTACCCAGTGAGTGGCAAAATCAGAAGTAGAAACGTGGGTCTTCTGACAGGCCCATTCAAGGGCCTTTTCCCTCAGACAGATTGTGTGGTGTGTGAAAGCATGGCATAAACAGTAAAGCATCGTGCGAATGTAAGGTGATTGCTTTCCTTCAGTTTTTCCAACGTTACTGTTGTCACTGTGTAGTGCTTAAGTAGGTGAGGATGGGAAGAAACGAAAGATACATCACTCACCCTAGGACATAGTAATTACATTTTCAGAGAAGGTCACGGCCATTAGAATGCTCAGGCTCCAGGGCAGTCGTCACCTTCAGCTTCCTGGGAGGCTTCTGCCCCTTCCCTGCCGCCGCCTTTCCCTGGGAGCCTAACCTGATTCTCTTGTTGCTATGGTCTGGCCACATGGAATGGGCCGCAGTGATCAGTCTGGGCCAATTACTACATGACCTAGATAATTAGAGCAGTACTCCACAAAGGCAAATGAATTCTATTTTAATGGGGAAATCACCAACTCTGAAGTACTAATGATAATGCCAAAGAAACAAAAATATCAGGGAAAAGAATTGAGTTAATAATACTGGTTAAGGTTTCTAAACATTCATCTTCATCTTCTACTTCTCTGACATCAACAGACTCAGGCAGTAGGAATGGATATTAGCATCAGTGATTAGTAATCTTAATTACCATGATGTATAATAATAACCAGTATTTATATGTGCTCTACGTTTTCTACAGCACTTCCCCACCTACTTCTTCAAGCATATGAGATACAGGCTGTACCAAAGCAGTGTCTCTATTTGATGGCTGAGGAGAGTAACCTCAGAGATGTTAAGTGCCTTGTGTATCACCATAGGCCTCATAAGAGGTACAGTTAGAAGTTTAGCCTAAGGGTCCAGCAGGTGGCCTGGACTCTTATGTGGCCTACTACAGTTTGAGTCCCAGACCTGGTGGCTTGAAAGTCACACAGGACGCATGTGTGTGCATTCCCATAATCCCAGGAGGAGAAGGGATTATGGCATAG